TCATCTGCATCTTGGCCTCTATTGATCATGGCTATTCTCCTGGGTGGTTCCTCAGGATTTGGATGTCGTATATCTACTGGTTCAACTCTTGGTTCTTCGACAATATTTTGTCTAGGTTGTTGAACCTGGTTTATGGTTGGTTCTTCTTGAACCCCTATGATATTTCGCCTGCGTCGAATAGGTGGTTGGGGGTTGCCAAAGAAATCTGCTATTCGCGCCATATGCGCTGACAACTGTTGGTATGATTGGGTGTTTTCTTGATTGGTTCTCTTTATATTCTGGATTAGGGGAGAAAAAATAGTATTCATTTCCCTTGCCAATATTCCAACCATATCCTGGTTACTAGCGTCCATTTGTTGTCTAAGTGTTGCCTGGGTATTTGTCGTTAAAGCAGGCATCTGGGCTGACAGGCCTTGGTTTTAGGCGCTTCGACCAATTGAACCAACATTTTGAATCGGCGAAAAAGTACTTACGTTAGGTTGCGTATATGTGGAAGTGTCATTATGCAAACCACTCATGAATGATGATGAGGGCCCTCCATATGATTGTTCTGTCCAAGGCCTAAAGTTTTCGAATCCTGGTGGCCTAGAAGGTGTCGAAGGTGGTACTTGGCCTCCTACATATGTCAAAATAGGGCCATTTTGAGTATTTGAAAGAGACTCTGATGTACCCCCAAAGAGGGGCACGTGTGTCATACTAGCCACATAAGTAGTTCCTGTGTAAGGTGGATTCGAATTAGTTGCGGCCATTGATCCTATTGATGTTGGAATGGCCTGGGAACTAGTTGTCGAATTTGTACCGACCGTTCCTGATCCTTGTGGAGGATTTTGTCCTCCTTGATCATTAGTTGTGTAAACCATCCTTCTGGTATGTTTTTTCTTAGGTATTGGTTGAGACTCACTAGTAATTCTGCCACTCCTAAGGTTCATATAACGCTTTTGCGTATTTTACCAGAGAATAGTCTTTTAAACCGTCTGTTATGATTACAACTGGTTTTCTTTTAAAACGTTATGACATTGTCCCACCGGGTGTGCCAATTTGTTCGTAGTGATTTCTGGCAAAACAACCGCTAGTCTTCCAAACAAATTTGATATGTATGGTTACTCGCAGGATCGACTAGATTGATCCTAGGACATTGTCTTAACATTAATTGTAACACTTTCTTGACGGTTTATGTTAAACACGACGTAATACTTGTACATGTGTTTGTGTAAAGGCTTGAAATACAAAAGACTTCTGAAATTAAATTCAAATGTAAAGGTTTAGACGAAGCGTCTTAATTAAAAAAAAAGGTTTGAATGTAAATACTTGACAATAAGAAGACTTAAGACTGGAATTAAGTGACTTGATTGTAACGGAAAAAGCCTTTTAAAAGAAATTTGATTTATAAAGCTTTGTAGGAAAATGAAACAATTCGACAGGACATAAAGAAATTAAGAACAATTGCAGGAGTACGTAAAAGAATGGTTTGAAAGAAAATTATGTTGATAAGTGCATTTCAAAGATAAAATTGTGAGGTCATACGTACATTCTCAATGAACTCTTTCTCTGTAACTTGGTACTTGAGTATTTTGTGAGTAACTTTGTACGAATTATGATCCTCCTTTTCCCTAACACTAAGGAGCTATTTATAATGTTCTAACCATAACGGTACTATTCTAAGGAAAAGCCACGTCGCTTCTTGCATGTCTTTCGACACTCTAAGGCTTCCCGCTCAAGCCTTCATCAACGACTTTCTCACGTGGCCGTCGAAACGTGCGTCTTTGACAAAATAAAAACATTTGTTTTTCCAAACTGTCATCGACTCAGATCCAATAATAATATACTTCGACTTATAGCTTTTTTCAAGCCATCTTGTGGAAATTTTAAATGAATAATTCCTTTATTAACCTGATCTAAATTCTCAGCTAACAGGGTGATGATGAAATCACACCAGACAGAGAATTAGTTTGTTTTGCTTTACTTGCAGATGCTGAACCAATCAACTATAGCGAATCTTTGAAGATTAACAAGTGGAAGTTAGCTATGGTCGAAGAGTTACAGGCAATCGAAAGAAACAACACATGGGAGTTAGTCGAATTGGCAACACATACAAAAGCTATCGAAGTAAAGTGGGTGTTCAAGTTGAAACACAATGCAGATGGGTCAATAACAAGACATAAAGCAAGATTAGTAGCTCGAGGTTTTCTTCAAAGAGCAGAATTTGACTACTCTGAAGTATTTGCTCCAGTAGCAAGACTAGAGATTGTTCGACTAATAGTAGCATTGGCATGCAATCAAGGCTGGTCAATATTTCATCTAGATGTGAAATCAGCATTTTTGAAAGGTCCTTTAGACGAAGAAGTTTATGTCACACAACCTCTTGGGTTTGTGATTCAGAAGGAAGCGAGTAAAGTATATAGATTGTACAAAGCGCTATATGGCCTCAAGCAGACACCTAGGGCATGGAACAAGAAGATCAACTCATACTTAGTCGAATTAGGATTTGTCAAATGCAAATCAGAGTATGGTGTCTATGTTCAGGTTGTAGCACAAGATATAACAATCATCTGCTTGTATGTTGATGACTTGCTAGTAATTGGAAATAGTTTGGAGAACTTGCTGAAGTTCAAAGAGCTGATGACAGAGGAATTTGAAATGTCGGATCTAGGATGGAATTTCAAATGTCGAAGAAAGTTATGGTGCTACATCAAAGAAAGTATGTCAAAGAAATACTCAAGAGATTCAGAATGGATGATTCGAATCCCGCATCCTCACTTGTCAAACCAAATGTGAAGTTGGAGAAGAATGGAGAGGAAGACAAAGTCGATGCAACTTTGTTCAAGCAAATTGTGAGATCTCAGAGGTATGTGTGCAATAGTCGACCTGATATAGGTTTCGCAGTCGGATTAGTAAGCAGATATATGGGTGAACCAAGAGTGTCACATATGAAGGCTGCAAGAAGAATCTTTCGATATTTGAAGGGTTCAATAAATTGTGGAATACTATTTCGACGAGATTCTGAAGGCAAAGAAGCAATAGTTAATTATTTTTCAGATGCTGATTAGTGTGGAGATAAGGAAGATCGAAGAAGCATAACTGGATATTTCTTTCAAGTATTAGGTACCCCAATCTCATGGTGTTCGAAGAAGCAACCTGTGGTGGCATTGTCATCGTGTGAAGCTGAATATATATCGGGATCCTATGTTGCATGTCAAGCAATTTGGATCAGATCTGTACTTGAAGAAATGACTGTCGAAGTGAAGAAACCTCTAGTATTGCAAATTGACAACAAGTCAGCCATAAATCTGGCGAAGAATCCAGTTCTGCATGGAAGAAGTAAACATATTGAAGCAAGGTTTCACTTCTTGAGAGAAAAAGTAAATCAAGGTGAACTTGAAGTTAAGCATTGCTCAAGTGAAGCACATTTGGTCGACATTTTCACCAAATGATTGAAGATCGACAAATTCCTGAATTTGAGAAAGAAATTAGAAATAGTTCAGATTGACTATTTTTGAGGATGTCCGACAACTTGGATTATGGGGGTGTGTTGAAATATTAAATTAGATTAAATTAGATTAGATTTAATATTTAATATAATCCAAGTTGTGTTAGCTCAAACCCAATTAGAATTGTATATAAATAGTCATATTGTGTATCATTATTTGTACACTTGAATAATACAAATTCTTATTTTCTTTATTATTCTCTCTTTCTCTCTTCACTAAAAGTGTCTCATGCACTAATAAAATATATTAAAAAGGATTAAATGTATGTCAAAATATATGAAGAGAAATAATGAAAAGATTAAGGGAAAAAAATAAAAGAAATAAATGAGAAATAGTAACATGTTAAGAGAAGAAAAAGATGAATGAATTTAAAAATGAGATACAAAACAAAAGTGAAAAAGAGAAAACAAGAGAATGAGGAGAGTTGTAATATTAGTTGTAAAGGGTATTTTGTAAAAAGTATGATAGTAATTATTGATAAAGCAATAGTGATATGATAGTAAAAAGAAGAAAGGAGAGCAATGAAACATTACACGTAAAAGGCTTAGAAAATAGAATGGCAGAATTAGAAATTCAACATCATAAACTTTTGTTATATGATAGATGAAAAAGAGAAAACAGGAGAATGAGAAAATTTATAATATTAATTGTAGAGTTGTATTTTTGTAAAAAATATGATTATAATTTTAATAAAATAGAAAATAATGGTGAAGATAAGAGAGGAGTAAAAATAAAGTGGTAGTGGGGCTTTAATTGAATCTTAGTCAATCAAGAAAGCAGCCGTGTAGCACCAGCCAACCTCTTCGAAAAGAAATTCGCATTTGGCAACTAAACTATCGTCTATTGGCTGCCAACTTATCTTTGATTTTGACTTCAATTTTGTCACCTTTTCGCATGATCATGCACAGTTACTTACACACCATCTTTCATCAATTTTTCAAATTCATTTTTGTTTTAAATAATATTTTGTAATTTAGTGATACCTTTTCGTTTATACTTATATTAAAACAAAATTTATTTACCAGAAGGATAGTAGTGGAGGAAGTATTAATCAAACATAAATCATTTTATATTTGTTTTATTATAATGACAACTAATTTTACGGGATTCATACGAAAGAAATCCTTAATTATAGTATATCCTAGTATATGCTAAATAAACAGTAAATAATCTCTTCCAAACTCAGCATAGTACATAAAATCAGATCAACTCTATTTCCAGGCAAGGAAAGGAAATACTTCATTTTTAACCGTAACCAAAAAATGGTAGAAACATAGAAACTTTAATTATGAAATCAAAACTAGCTTACTTCACAATTCATTGGAAAAATTCTTATCATTAAAACAGAGCTTCAAGCATACAAACAATTTTATTAATTTTGAAACAACTCTATACAAAATAGTCCAAATCTTTCAACTACTAAAGGAAACTCTATAACTAAGAAAAAAAAAATACACAGAGAAAATTAACTAAGTTACAGTACACAACATAAGAACTACACCTAGAGGTCCTTTACGCAGTTTCAACATGTCTTACAAAGACGGTTTCTAAATCTGGCGCTGTAAAAAACTCTCTTACAACACCACTTGTACCATGATAGTTAAACTTCAAAGAAGATTTTTGCTTTTTAGGAGCAGGTGGACACGTGAACAACGTTGGAATTTTCGATTCCTCGCTTCTTGGTGTTGAACATTCTTCCTCAGTAACAATTTCATCAACTTGTTGTTGTTGTTGTTGTTTTTCTATAGGAACTGTTAGAATTGGTTTCAATGGAGCTCGTAAAGAAACTCCAGCTATAACCCATTTTCTGTTATTCTCTAACTCAATTCCTCCTTCTACTTGTGCTTTCTCTGAGTACCCCATATTCAACAAACAAAAATAATTTCTAAGACTGAGGTTAATATTGTGTGAAGTAAGGAATAAGGAATATGAAGAAATGAAAAATGTTTGAGGGGTGAAAAGGGTGGAGAAGAGGGAAAAGAGAGTTTTTTTGAGAGATGGAAAGAGAAAAGAGTAAGATATGGTATTAAATGTAAGAGAGAGGGGTGTGATGTTGAAAGTTGCGTGTGGGAAAAGAAGAATGGAAAAGGAAACAAGAGAGAACCCGAGGAAAATCGTGACATAAGCAAAGATAATGAGATTAAATGAAGTGAAATAATACAATAACATTTTAGCCAATGGGAAGGAGAGAGATGTCTGAAAATTTCTCAACATCTGGTATATGATGTAGATAGATAAAATTATTAAATAATTATGGGTGAGGTTAACTTGTACTACGAGCATTTGTTAAAAACCTATTGATAGAATTTGTGTAAAAAAATAGGATATTTTTTATTCATAGATAAGTAAAATTTAGTCATTAATTTTGTTTAAGGTTTAAAATTTATTTTTTATTGTTTCGAGTTGGACAAAATAATTCTATATTATTTAAGAATCGAGTCTAATTTTTTTTTATGGATATATAAAAAACAAAATTCAAAATAGAAGAAAATAATTTAGATTGGATTAGTCCTCCTATTATCTGGTCTAATATTTTTCTTTAACAACTACTCTAACTAAAACATGCGCTTCAATGTTATTGTTACGATTAACATGATTAAACTTAATTTTCTCAAAGGCTTCACAAATCTCTCACAGTTTCACCCATCATGATTCTAGGTATATTATAATTCGTGTCTTGCATTAACTTAATGATTTTAATCAATATGTGTAAAACTCCACTTTGTTGTATCCATTCTCTATCGCACTCTCTATAACCATGTAGAGCGCCATGGGTTCCACTTCAAGAGGTTGATTAGATCCCTTCATCCTTTTAGCAGTCTTACTCGTTATGTTGCCATCCTTGTCAGTGAAAATGGAGCTTAGTCTCCAGATTCCATCGATTGCCATGTTTGTATCAAATCTACATAATATTTAATTAAGGATAATTTATATGCAACATTTGTATACTTTAACCTAACAAGACGTCTTTTCTAAAATACAAAGTCGACGATCAGGAATTTATTTTGATATGATCCTTGTAAGAACGGCCTGAGGATGTTCATCCCCCACCAGGAGAATGGTCGTGGGGACAATAATGCTTTGAGTTCATGTGAGGGTGCGAGGTGCATGTCCGCGTGTCTTTGACATTTTTCGTATTTTTTGACGTTCTCCTTTGCGTCTTGCTGCATGGTGGGCCAGTAATACTTTACTTGCACCGCCTTTCATGCCAGAGATCTTCCGCCCAAGTGTTGGGCGTTGATTCCCCATAAGATCTCGAGGATTTTGGACTCCTCGACGCATTTTAGGAGTGGGATAGAGAATCCTCGCCAGTAGAGCTTATGCTCGACTACTACATAAGAGAAGACTCGTCGTTTGGTCGCATGGCCTCTTTTTGGTCTATGGGTAACTCCCCCTTTGTGAGATAATTAAATATCAGGGTCATCCAACACAAATTGTCCCTGATAGCATCCACCCCTGGCAACGTAGTGGGTTTTTCAATACTCGGACGAGAAAGGGATTCTTGGATAAAGGATTTGTTCCCACCTTTTTTCTCTATGCTCGCGAGTTTTGAAAGTACGTCGGCCCACGTGTTTTGTTCACGGGGTACATGTTTGATTTTCGCCTGGTCGAACATCTTCATCTTTTCTTTGACTAGGTTTAGATATTCGATGAGGCTATCATTCTTGGCCTGATATTCTCCTTGAACTTGAGACACAATAAGCTGGGAGTCTGTGAATACTTGTACTTCTCGGGAACCTAGGTCTTCGGCCAACTTTAATCTTACGAGCAGGGCCTCGTAGTTGGCCTGGTTATTTAATATGGGAAATGACAGGGCGAGTGAATGTTCGATCACAACACCCTCTTCATTTTCGAGGAGGATTCATGCTCCACTTCCCGTCGAGCTAGAAGCTCCGCCCACAAAGATGGTCCACTTATGTTTCCCGCCCGCGGGGGGTTCATGGTGGTCATCTCTGCAATGAAGTCGGCCAACGCTTAGGCTTTAAGTGCTTTCCTACTTTATTACTGAATGTAGAATTCTGAAAGCTCTAGGAACCATTTCAGTATTCGATCGTCCATGTCTGGTCGACCTAGGAGCTGTCTCACGGGATTATCTATTTGTACGACAACTGTGTGGTCCAGGAAGTAATATATGAATCTCCTTGCCGCGTTGATGAGGGCTAAGGCTACTGATCTTACCGGATCAGAGATGGACTGTCACAGCTGGCTCAGGCAGAAGTTGAATGAGATGGGAGGTACCTGCAAGACACTCCGATGGAAAAGTAAGAAGCAGAATGAGCAAGCAAGTATGAGTTCTGAGATATGAGTTGAATACCTGACCCCCTCGGAAGAGAGGGTATTTAGCCTCCAGAGCTAGGCCAAGCTCTCTTTATTGGGCTGATCAAACAGGCCCAACAAAGAGACTGCCAGGTTCTACGTGTGTAGTGGGGACCCGCACGTGGCCCCCTACCTGGATAACGTCCTCTGCTAGACAGGGAGGATAGGGACGCGATCTTTCCGGGACCATGAAGACTCCGCGAAATCTAGAGATGTTGGAAGTAAGCCTTACGAGGAAGGTGCTCGGGAGGAGTGCATGCTCGTTGGAGATGGTCTATGCGAGCACAGATGGGAAGCAGTCTTGGTCGATAAGACATCTGTGGTCGGATGTGCTTGGGGAAAATACTGCTCAGCACAGCAGGTTGGCATGCTTGGATTGGGCCTCACTAGTAGTTGGGCCAAGGGCAGGCCTAGTCTAGAACAGAAGGCCCCCAAGTCGTTGCTCCTGGTGAAGGAGTTATGAATTGATTCAAGTTTTCCCCTTCGCGAGACTCGCCGCGCGACACGAGGTTTTTCTACCATGGACGGAAGATGTCGCCTAGTTCATGATTTGCTTAATGCAATGGTCGAAGAGTGTTTGAGGAATACTCGTGGGGAGAGGATGACACACTAGTCGGGCACGTAGCATGGCTCTTGGAAACCACAATGGTGGCCTAGGGAGTAGGGGCCATCATTGTCTATACGAGTAGGTGTCGAGGAGAAAGGCAGTTTGTGATTGCCCAACGCGACGTTTCACATTCCACGTCAACTCTATAAATAGGACTTCAGGACCCATAACTTGTTTTCACATTTTCACGCTCCCATATTTTCTCTGTCGTTAACACCACGCGTTTTCCCAGTGTCATTGAGACCGCCGCACAGTCCGCCGTGTACTTATCTCAACAATTGTCGCTCATCATTTTTCCTCCAAGTTTTCTTTTTCTTTAATATCTTGTGTTGTAAATAGATTTTGATGGTGTTTAGTGGTAGGATTTCGTGTCTGGGGATTATGCCCGGGGAATTCAAGCGTTTTAGGCGTCTGATTCATGATCATGCCAGCGGTGTTCATACGTTTAGGCATACGGTTTATGATTATGCCCGTGATATTCATGCGTTTAGCTAACAAATTTATGAACTTGGTCGTGATATTCACCCTTTCGTTAATATATAGGCTAGTTTTCCCCGTGGCATTATTGTATCTGGCTAGTAATGTTATGAACTTGGTCGTGAAATTCATCCTTTGCTCGCGATATTCTTACTGTGCCCGCGATATTTATGATTGATAAAGACGTCCTCCGTTAAGGTCGGTGTTCGATTGAGGTCCACGTGTTCCCCCTCTTTCGTGCGAATGGCCGTTGACTTGGTCTGAGTGTCGCTTACTTCTCCCCGTCTGTGTCGTGGAAAAGCGGATTTGCTGTCGAATTTACCGGTTTCCTGTACTTTGCAGGTAAATGGCCAATATTCCCAAGTCCTCGGAGCACATTGACACCGAGGAAACCAGCACTGTCGAGGAAAGCATTAATCTGGTCGACACCGTCGACGACCCTACTATGGACTGGGTCGGTGCAGAACCCCGAGGGATAGCTTCGATCTATAGCTATACCGGCAAGCAAGCTTATACTGTCGTCGAGTACGGCGGCAGCCAGGAGGGGTTTTGGAGATTTTTTAAGATCATGAGACCGACAAGGGACTCCCTCATTTTCTCGGAGTTTACTCAGGACACCTTCCCTATGTATGAGATCATATTTAAAGATCTAAAGCTCCGGCTTCCTTTCAACGACTTCCAGATGGGAGTGTTAAATCACTTGAACTTGGCTCCCTCCCAGATTCATCGCAACGTGATTGCCTTTATCCGGGAATTCGAACTTACATGTCGTTTCGTGAGGATCGGGGTAACGATTCCCCTGTTCTTTAGGGTTTTCACCTGCAACGGCAATCCCGAGGAGGGAAGCATAGCTGGGTGTCCCTTAAGAAGTCGAAAAGGATGTTTAGGATGTACATGGATTCCGTTCGGGATTTCAAGGATAAGTGGTATATTTTGCAACCGTCTACCCAGACAGCCGTGGATTCGCTGTTCAAACCGGTTGCCGTGGTGGACGAGGATGTGCAGCCATGTTTGGATTTTGAGGGTAATCCCGAGATTGGGAAAGTCTCAAAGTTTCCCATCCACTGGTGTTCGGGCCATTACGACCATGGACCTGGATATTACCATACTCCCGCTGGCGGTATGAGCGCTGAGGACGAGGAGGCTTATGGCGTCCTGAATAAATTTATCGACGGTTTCTTCCCCACTCGGTGGGTTACGAGGTAGGGGAATGACATTCTTGATGAGGATGGTGAGTCGACGTTCGAGGCACGTCCGATCAACACCAAGGCGCTCGTCGAGTTCCAGTCTTACGGGCAGGCCACAGAGCTCTTAGGTTTCTTGCTTACTCTATTGATAGCCTTCTTTTTTTGTTTTCTTCGATGTGGCTAACCCAAGCACATTTCCTTTGAAGGTCACATGGAAGAACATCGATAGAGGTTGCTGAAGCTGACCCAAGATAAGAAGATCAATAAGAGGTTTG